GTCCCTGTAACATTTCTTAGCATGAGATTGTTTGGTGGTGAGAAATATAATGTTTCGCCAGGGCGAAGGTAAGGGCAAATGGCAGACAACAATATTCTAATTGGCTCTTTGTATCAACCATGATTTCATAAGAAACATTCCAGATTGGAGACGAGTTGTTATTTACACTTTCTGTCCACTTAAGTGATCAAAATACTTAGAGTTGTTTATTGTCCCTTACAGAAAATGTTCAAGATATTCTCTAATACGCCGGTATTTGTCATTGGCTTTCATTGTAATGGGGTTTGAGTACATGGTTTTGGTAAGACCACATCTAGAATATTGTGTGCAGTTTTGGTCTCCTTACCTGAAAAAGAATGCATGTACTTGAGAAGGAATGCAGCAACTGTTCACCAGTCTGATTCCTGAAATGGCAGGATTATCGCATGAGGAGATATTGTATTGACTTAGCCTGTACTCACTGTAGTGATGGTAACGAGGTCAGCCAGGTGGACCTCATGGAATAGGACTTCCTTGATTGGGGCTGTTAAGTGTCAAGCATTCTGTTCACTCTGAGAGAGCTGGATCAGAGTAAATAATGGTGACTTGGTGATGGGATACCAACCTCTGTGAAATTATTTCAGCAGCAACAAGAGAAAAGGATGCTCCTAAAGAAATTTGCTCGCAATAGTCGTATTTGAGTTGGGGTAAGCATTTCTGGCATTGTGCCATTATTTGAGAAGCTTGACTCATTCAATCCTGCCATTGAAGACTGGGCCAAATATGTGGAAAGAACGCATTATATTTTCCAGGCAAATTACAATGGGGCAGTGAAAAACAATGACTAATTCTCCTGACAGCTTGTGGATCCGCTGCTATTTTGGCTGTCCTCCCACAGTCATTAGATTTGCAGCTTAGGTAGAGTGGCCATGCTAAATTGCCCTTAGTGGCCAAGGATGTGCAGGCTGGGTGGATTAGCCATGGGAAATGCAGGGTTAGGGGGATAGAGTGGGAGAGGTTGACTGGATGGGATGCTCTTCAGACAATCAGTGTGGACTTGATGGGCTGAATGGCCTGCTTCCACACTGTAGGGATTCTGTGATTTGGAGCCTAGCTTTTCCTGAGGCACCAGATACTAAACACTGGAAGAGTCCATAAAGGTTTTAAATTTTCTGGACACGCTTCCAGTCACAGCTGACAATATCTGACTTTGGACACAGCAAGATCCGGTCCTGGCAAAACTGAAACAGCTGGTGGTGATGGGGGAAACCAAAGGGCTGTCACAACTAGAACTGAGACCTTTTCGGAACCAGAGAGATCAGATCACAGTAGAGAGCAGCATTTTATTATGGAGGGCAAGAGTGATTTTCCCGAACAAAGGTCGCCACCATATACTGGCTGAACTCCACCAAGGTCATCCAGATGTTTCCAAAATGAAGATGTTGGCAAGAAGTTATACCTGGTGGCCAGCACTGGATGCAGACATAGCTGCATTGGTGGGGAAGTGCCCAGAGTGCTCACAAGGATGTAAACTACTGCCAGCAGCTCCCCCCCATTTGTGGGAATGGCCAGGTAAACTCTGAACTCTGTTACATATCGACTATGCAGGTCCTTTCATGGGCTCAATGTTCACAGTCATTGTGGACAGCCAGTTAAAGTGGCTGGATGTGCATAGTGTTCATTCCTTAAACTTAGGGATGACAGAAAAACTGTGCATATCTTTTGCAAATACACAGGCTCCAGGAAGTGTTGGTCACATAATGGGCCATCGTTTACCAGCAGGGAATTTGAATATTTCCTAAAGTCAAATTGTACTCGACATATATGGACAGCTCCATACCATCCATCATCCAATGGTCTGGCAGAAAGAGTAGTCTAAACTTTGAAGGCAGGCTTAAAGAAACAGCCTACAGCTTCACCAAAACTAAACTTTCCCAGTTCTTATTTGATTATAGGACCACCCTACACACAACAGGGATAGCTCCAGCAGAGTTGCTAATGGGAAGAAGACTCCACATCAGATTAAAGCTGATCTTCTTGGACTGGTGGGGGGATGTTAAATGGCATCAGGAATGCCAATGCTGACACAAGACTCTGTTAAGTGAACGAGACAAAGTTTGTTGTTGGAACCACAGGACTGGCCCTGCATGACTAAGAGGCATGGTCAACGTGAGGTCAGGTCCAGTGACATATAAAGTTTGCATACATGCAAAGGTCCTGTAAAAGCACATGGACCATATGAAAGCTGCAAACTTGTAAACAGTGTGGGAGCAAAACGTGCCCAGCTACTCAACAGTCTTTTGGACTGTTCTGGAACCCGGTGGTTCTCCCTCTCTGCCAAGCGTTGAAGATATCTCAGAATCTGAGATGGATACAGCAGATGTCGCCGCATCGATGACTTTGCCACCTGAAGAAGAGAATAAATTTCTTCTGAGATGCTCTGGGTGCAGGAGGTGAGCTGCTGTGCTTTACATACCACCTGTATCAGAGGCAGAGTTGGAGGAACCTGACCCAGTGCTAATAAACTTTGTACAATGATTGGAAACTTCTTCACTTCTAACCAATGACATAATTGATGAAGCAGCTGAAGATAGTTGGCCCTAGGACACTACCCTGAGGGACTCCAAAAGGATGTCCTGGAGCTGAGATGACTGAACTCCAACAACCTTAGCCATCTTCTTTTGTACTAGAAATAATTCCAACAAGAGGTTTCCCCGATACCTATTGATTAGTAGTTTGAATAGTTTTGCCAGGGCTCATTGATGCCATACTCTGTTAGCCCAATTGGCTGGATGGCTGGCTTGTGACACAGAGTGTCACCAATGTTGTGGGTTCAATACTGTGTCAAATATAGCCTTGATGTCAAGGGCAGCCACCCTAACCTTTCCACTGCAGTTCAGCTGTTTTGTCTGTGCTTGAACTCATGCTGTAAAGAGGTCAGGCCTGATGTAATCTAAACTGAGCTTTACTGGGCATGTTATTGTGAAGTAAATACTGCTTGTCAGCAATGTTGATTACCTTTTCCATCACTTTACTGAAGATTGAGAGCAGACTAATGAGGTCATCATTGGCCTCGTTGGATTTCTCCTTTTTTTGTGTAAATATCTGGGCAATTTCCATATCACCCAATAGATGCCAGTGTTGTAAGTGTACTAGACTTTGCCAAGCAAGTTCAGGAGCACAAGTCTTTAGTACTGTTACTGGAATATTGTCAGGTTCAACAGTCGTTACAGTATTCAGTGACTTTGGCCGTTTCTTGATATCACGAGGCGTGATCAAATCAGCTAAAGACTGACATCTGTGAAGCTGGAGACCTCTGGAGAAGGCCAAGATGGATCATCCACTCCATAGGTTGAAGATTGTTACAAATGCTTCAACTTTTTGGATTGATGCTCCTGCATTATTGGATTTTTTTGTGATATTTGTGAAGCCTCCTCCTCCTCCAGTGAGTTTTTTAATTGTCTACCACCATTTACAACTGATGTGGCAACTCTGCAGAGCTCAGATTTTCAGCTGGGAAACCTTCATGGCAATGAGAAATGTCCTGCAAATAAATATAAACCATGTCCCACATTGTTATTTAAGCCTGTAACTGCTACCTCCTGGAAGCACAAAGGCACCAGGAGCAAGGGAATTACTTTCAATTTCCCCTCCAAGTCATGCAACATTTCAACTTGTCAATATTTTGCTGATCCTTTAATGTCACTGGACCTGAATCCTGGCATTCCCTACCGAATGGCACAGTGCTTGTAAATTTATGACATCGATTGCAGTGGTTCTAGAAGTTGTCACATCACAACCTTTTTGAGGACAATTGGTGATGGGCAATAAATACTGCCCTTGGCAACACTGCCCATATAATGTAAATGAACTTTAAAAATCTTAAATATCTTGTGATCTATGAAGGTGATTATGCAAGCAATGTTGATACATAATTAGAAACAAACGTTCTTTGGAGTTTGTGGATGACTACATCAAGCTTTGTCATTGTGCAGGGGGTTGGTGTTGAAGGGGCCACGTCAAAAACAGTATTTGTTTCTGTCAATTTCTATCAGCGCCCTCCGTATTTTATGGAACATGAGAGTCTATTTTCTCCCCATCTTTCTTGTAGTGATTCTTATTTCAAATCTTTGATCAAGGATTTGACACTGGTGAACTGATGAAGAGGGCTCACTGGACCTGAAACGTTAACTCTGATTTATCTCCATATATGCTACAAGACCTGCTGAGTTTTTCGAGAAATTTCTGTTTTTGTTTCTGATTTATGTAGAATGAAGTGTCTTTTGGATGTCTTCAGTGTTATTTATATATGTGGCGAGAAATTCAGTGGATATGTGAAGCTGGCAGAAGGCATACACAACAGTGGCACACTAACAAAATGAATGGCAGAGCAGACTCCAATGGCCTCACAGCCTACTCCTGGTTTCTATGACTGCAAATCTTAAGGCATGCGTACCTTCAAACAGCGGCAACAGCACTACAAGGATCCCACCCACAGTTTGCATTCTCCAGAATTGGCCAAACTCCGCGATATTTTGTTGCAATGCCAAAGATTCGTCTTCAGAAATCCAAGCACCCTCTGTGCTCTGGATGTTATTTGCTGAATGTGGAATCCCCGTTGAATGACTTCAATCGGTTCTAGTCCCACATATTTTAAGTTTTTCGTTCACACAGGCCAACTTGCCAACATCTGCATTCTGATGTGAACTCATCGACCTGAAACATTAACGCTGTTTCGCTTTCTATAGACGAATATTTTCCAGCATATTATTTAAAATTTTACGTTTGATACAACCTCAGCACAGATACAACATAAACCCCTCTTACATGCCTTCAGTCTCAAAGCACTGACGACGCCGCGGGATTTTCATGAATGAACTCCCGACACATACCGCCCAAAAGTGATGAATGGCGAAGCTTGAGACCAATCAAAGTTGGGAGATGGTGCAGGCGACGTTCCGATTGGAGAGCGTCTATTGATTGACGTGAACGCGCCCGGGCCGGTCTTGTGGGCGGGGCAAAGAGGCCGCTGCTGTGGCCGCCATTTTTGTTTCTCCCTCTCTCATTCTTCCCTTAGCGTGCGAAGCATCGGCCGGTTCGGAGCTGTAGGAACCCGGCGGTCGGAATTGAAGATGGCGGGCAGACACCAGGCTAAGCGTTTCAGGTTCGACAGGGTGAGTGAGTGCCGACGTCGGACGGATGGTTTCCAGTCATTGCGTTTCGAGCGGTCGCACCCCCCCCGCATCGTTCTACCCCACTCCCCACAGACACCAGGCAGCAACAGGCAGGCTGAACAAAGAGGTTTTGAGGCCTAGGCCGCGGCGAATACAGGGGCCTTCAGAAGGCTGCAGCAAGCATCTGTTTAAAAGTGTGTTCAAACGCGCGGTCCAGATCCAACCCTCCAGGCGATTCAGTCCCATCTGCTCAGCCATCCCTTTTGGTGCTGAGTTAGAACGAATGTTGTCTTGGTAATTGAAATGAATGCACAATCAAAGTGACTCCTTTCCTTTTGCATCATGCGCCCGCCCTATAAATGCGTGGTACCTGCTTTGAGTGTTAAATTTCGGTTTAAATACGGGCTTAACATTTCACTAGTCTCTCAGCATAGAGGTGCAAAAATCGGATTTCGCCCCTGCCATTTGTTATCTCCACTGCTGGAAGCTGCAGTGCTCCCTGTAGAGATTCGCCAGTAGAGCTTTGATTTGGACACGACTGGTTACTTTGTGGTATTGTCAAGTCCAAGGCTATCATCGCCCCAGATACATGTGCATATTGTTCTGCGGTGCTGAATCAAAAATGGAAACTTGGATTTTCTTTTGTTTCTGTGTGGAGTTAAGAGGCTATGCTTGATGTGTCTGTATACTTGTTATTGTAAATATCACAGACTTGAGATACTTTTTCTAGTGCGTAACTTGGTACCTGTGTTCAAGGAAGAATGTACAGTAAGTAAACTTAAAGGGATGCAAAGAAAGAACATTAATTATTGGAATGAGTTTAAGGTGATTGTAGTGAATAGAGTGAGATTGTACTTTCTGGTGTTCTAAATGAATGAGAATTGATAATTGAAACATAAGGTTCCAAGAGGACTTGGCACAGTAGGTACTTGAGTCTCTTTTCCCAGGATGGAGGGTCTTGAATTTGGGTCCTTGTCTCAGAATAAGGGGCCATTTTATTCTGATACCAAGACTCTGGACTGCTATGTTCTGGATAGTATTGAGCTTCTTGTCTCACGACAGCTATGCTCATAAAAGCAAATCGTGTATTCGGTCAGTCTCCTTACTTGTGCCTTGTTGACAAGTTTTGGAGAATCTTATTTCTAGAAGTCCTAGCTTTTTGTCTTGCTCTTATAAGTGGTCCATTTAGTTTCTGGTCAGTGGTAACTCCTGAAGTTAATCACAATTATTATGGTGCAGAAAGATGGCATTTGGCCCATTGCCAATCTGCTGCTTTTCCCCATATCCCTGCATACCATTTCATTCCAAATAAGCATTCAATGCCCTCTTAAATGCTGGATTGAACCTGCATTCACCATATTTTCAGGCAGTGCATTCCATGAATCTGCCGAGTTGCAAATCGTCCTCCATATTGTGCACTCATCAGTGAGCATCCCCACTCTGACTTTAGGATGCATGGAAGGTTATTGAAGCAGAGCTAAGGATGATTGAGCCCAGGGTGCTATCTAAGGACCTCCTGCTGCGATGTTGTGGGGCTGAAATGATTAGATTATTTTAAAAGGCATAGTAGCCTTTTAAGGAGGGGGTGGTGGCCTGGTGGTATTATCGCTGGACTGTCAATCCAGAGACCCGGGTATTCTGGGGACCTGGGTACAAATCCCACCACAGCAAATGGTGAAGTTTGAATTCAATGAAAAAAATCTACATATAAAAGTCTAACAATGACCATGAATCCATTGTCGATTGTTGGAAAAGCCCACCTGGTTCACTAATGTCCTTTAGGGATGGAAACTGCCATCCTTACCTGGTCTGCTATAAGTGACTCCAGACCCACAGCACTGTGATTAACTCTTAACTGCCCTCTGGGATTGGCAATAAATGCTGGCCTTCATCCCATGAATGACTTTAAAAAAAGCCTTGAAGTAGTTGAAAGGTTATTCCTATTCCTTCCTTCTGCAGGATCCTCGGAGGAAATTTTTTTTGGTGATTGTGGCAATCACGCTTAATGTGAATACTTTCTTATATTCACCTTCTCCAGTAGGAAATCCAGGTTTTGTGCTAATCTTGCATGCACGGTATTCAATCAGAGATAAGGATGGAGCGTAGGAGTACAGGCTATTTTTCTACTCCTGTTAAATCACTCTTACTGAAGTGAGCCAATTCAGCCATTCCACGGTTGAGCATGCATCTCTGGGTAATCACTGAAGTTCTTTTAGCAGAAAAGATTTTCAATGAAATGGCATGACTAATCTGAGAAAAACTGAAAGAACTGCGGATGCTGTAAATCGGGAACAAAAACAAAGTTGCTGGAAAAGCTCAGCAGGACTGGCAGCATCTGTGAAGAGAAAAACAGAGTTAACGTTTCGGGTCTGGTGACCCTTCCTCAGAACTGTGACTAATCTGAGAGTTGTTACCTGTAAATATTGTGCTGATTTGCAAAACTGCAAAGGACTGAATAATGAGTGCTCTCCACAGGTGATCAGATAATGAACCATTTAATTGCAGAGAAAATTTTTGTGACTAGATAATGGTGAAATACTATATTAATTAATAATTGGCTTCTGTTTTGTTCAGGATGGTGGTATTGAAGACCTTAATAAGATTTCTCCATCTCCTGTTATACATATCCGAGGACTGTTGGATGGGGTAATGGAAGTTGATCTTATGGAGGCTCTCCAGGATTTCGGCAATATCAGGTATGTGAGAGGGCAAAATGTGAAGTGTAATGCTGATCTGATGTAAAATGTGACTTGGTAAGGTTTGGAATATTTGCATCTACAGTGTGGAGAATATGTAATCTTGATATTAGATACAATTTCTATTACTTGCAACATGGCAAGTGTTGATCGTGATGTTTTCTGAGCTTGGAGGGGGGCATCACACAAACAATATTGACCACTTGTCACTTTTGAATAGCATTTCTACTTGGCCAAGACCTGATATTAAAGTTCTAAGAAATAAATTTTTAATTCCAAGAATGTTTGATTTTAATCTTGCATTAGAATGGTGCAACACAGAAGGAGGATTTTTGGCTCATTGGAGCTCTTTGTCTTTTTTTAAAGAGTACATCATTTGGTTCCAATCCCCTGCTGTTTTCCCATATCACTACAATATTACTAAGTAAGGAGGTCAGTGCAGTAGTTCTTCAACGAGGATGATGCTTGTTTGTGGCAGGAACTTGTGCATGGAGCAGTTTGATCAGATTTCAGGCACCTAATTAGGTAATCTAGACTAACAGTTGAGTGTAGAACTTTAGAAGTGCGGTACTGTTTGGTGTGCCATCTTGTGTGAAACATTAAACCAAAGCCCAGTTTGCCCCTTAGTTGGACATTAAAATTCTGAAGTTTGCAGAGCATGGGAGTTCTGCCCACTGTCTCAGTCAGTACTTTTTTCCTAAACAGCATCTCTAAAACACATCTAGTCATTTACCCACAGTGCTATTTATCAGGCGTTCCTGTGCATTAATGATTGTTGTATTGTGGGAAACAATGACTACACATCAGAAACACTTAATTGATTAAAATATTCTTTTGGGTGCCCTGATGTTGAGAGATGCTATACAAATGTAAGTTGATGCAGTGCACTTTATAATACTGAATAGTAAATTAAAATTACATGTCTGATATGGTTAGAATTATTAGTATTCTATTAAACTCAGAATTGTAAACAAATATAGAATTTTAATACCAAATACTTCTGTAAGATTTTGTTATATCTTGCTTATTTTGGTGGCTTCATCACTATATAATGCTATTATACTCCTGTGCAAAAAATGGGCATTAGTTGCATGTAGCTCCCTTCCTAAAATTGCAGTAGAAATAGACCCTTTGAATATTTTTAAGGCTAAGGTAGGCTCCTAATGAGCAAAGGGTTGAAATTTTGTCGGGGGTAGGTAAGAATGTGGAATAATCAGATCAGCCATGATCTTATCAAGTTTGGAGCAGCCATGAGGGGCGGAGTGCCCTACTGCTCCTAAATTGTATGTCTGAAATGGTGTTTGCACACAGGATTGCACACTCCTGTGTGCAATACAGGTTTTTGGTATTGGGACTTGGACAGAAAGTTACAGCAGTCATAATTCATATTTTGAACTTCTGATTGGTGTGAACATTGCTTAAATGCTGGGAGTTAAATGTGTTGAAGTTTCTCAACCCAGTACTGAGTGTATGTGGGCTATTTGTAAAACTCTTGGAACTGGAATAAGAATCTTGAGGTGATGAATGCTTACTCCTAGAAACTGGAATGACACCTAGAGGATGAGTACTGACCTAACTCGTCGATAGGTGTCAAGCTGTTTGGAATGGAAGCCAATGCTTGAATGTTTAATAGTTTTATTCCCTGAAACCATAAAATTAACTCTCAGTCAAAATGGACCATTTTTATATGTAATGTGTTTCTATAGATAGGTTAACTGAGTGGACAAATATCTGGCAAATGGAGTGTAATGTGGGAAAGTGTAACATTGTCCACTTTTGCTGTAATAACTAACTTTAGGTTTTCAGGAAATTTAAAAAAAAAATTAAATCTTTATATTTTATTCTCTAACTGCTTACTCCAGGTGCAGGTTGCTGAACTAACATTGTACTCTACAAACAAAATCTGAACATTTCAAAAAAATTCCAGATTCCTGTTAACTGTCCTTGTGCTTGGTTTACAGTTGTGTGATGCTGATGCCCAGGAGAAAGCAAGCATTGGTTGAGTTTGAGGACATCGCTGGTGCATGTAGCTGTGTGAATTATGCAGCAGATAACCCAATCTACGTTGCTGGACAACTGGCCTACGTTTGTTTTTCCACAAGCCAGAAAATTGCCAGACCAGATGATGATGACTCTAAAAGCAATAAAGTCCTGTTGATCACTGTTGCAAATTCTATTTATCCCATCAACACAGTAAGTTTAGCAGAAGCTAGGTCATGAATTCGGTTTTCAGCTGTCCCAATGTAGAGATTTTGTTTTTTTTCAAAGCAACTTACTGCCTTTAATTAGTGAAATGCCCCAAGTTGCTTCAGAAGAATGTTGTTAAAACTCTGAGCCATATAATTGAAACATAGGAGGAGCAGTAGGCCATTCAGCCCCTCTAGCTATCTCCATTCTAAGTGATGGATCATCACCTACTTCAGCAGTATTATCTCCATATCCCTTGATGTTATCAATATCTGGAAATCTCTCAATTCTGTCTTCAGCGTGCTTGAAGACTGAGTTACCACAGCTCTTTGGGCCAGAGAATTCCAAAGAATCAGTAACCTTTGAGTGAAAAGATTGCTCCCCATTTCAGTCCTTAAATGTCTTGTCCGTAATTAAGTAATTGGGATCAAGCCATTTGGGATGGAAATGTCTTAATTAATTTTGAAGCTATGTTTTCTGGTTCAAAACAGACCTCCCCATCTAAACACCACAAAATCTTTCATTTGTGACAATTTTGTGATTGTCATTGTACATCATTCTGATAAGATGAATTCAAAGATTGAATTTGAAAGTGCAATTTCGTCGTATATTGTCATTCTTTTTACTGTGGCTACGAAAGTTCTGGAACTTCCTCCCTAACAGCATTGCAGGTATACCTACATCAAATGGACTGCAGTGGTTTAAGAAGGCAGCTTGTCACCTGCTCCTGAATGATGACTAGAGTTGGGCAATGAATGCTGGCCCACCCAATGACAACCCGTGCCATGAATTAATTAAAAAATTGACTGATTTAAAAGAAAAAGCCTCTATACTTTTATGCCATTGTCCATGAGATCCAAACATTGACTATTTTGAGGAGTCACTTAGACATGTAAAAAGGAACAAAAACAAAGTTGCTGGGAAGGGTCACTGGACTCGAAACATTAATTCTGTTTTTTCCTTCACAGATGTTGCCAGACCTGCTGAACTTTTCCAGCAACTTTGCTTTTGTTCCTGATTTACAGCATCCGCAGTTCTTTCGGTTTTTATGTTAAAAGGAACAAAACACCATAATCATGAAAAAAACACAAGGACGTGATAATATTGCCAGCAATCTGCTGATTATAAATTCACAGCAGCATTTTAATTTTGGCCTGTACTGCAAACTATGAACGCTCTGTTCCTCATGGTTATTGTTATCTTCAATGTAGCAAAATGAATTGTAGTGTCAGTTGGACTAGATGCACTCTAACAAGTATAGATCATAATTTCCAATCTAAGATTTAGTACCCAAATGTACAAGGGTACAGATTGCAGAACTGTTTCTAGCTGCCATGCCTGGATAAGCTAGACCTCCAACCCAGTTGAGTTTACAAATTTATACTCTTTGTTTTTATTATTGCTGGATTGTCCCGAATGATTTTCTTTGTTTGCTTTCTGCTGAAAGCGTTAATAAGTTTATATCACTGAATGAAATGTTATGAGTGGTAATGTTTGACAAAACTTTTACATTTTTATCCCTAAGGTGAGTCTGTGATGTTCATAGGTACACAAAGCAGGGCAGTTTGCTGAACCTCAAGATCTGGTTAGGCCACTGCAGTCATGTTGCTTTAGTAGATCTGGTCACCACATTTCAGGAGGGACATGAAGGTCCTTGGGTGGATGAATGCCAAGATCATCTATCAGAATGGTGCTTGAGATTGAAATTGGAAATTTTAGCTACAGTTAGGCTAGTGAAGCTGGAGTTCTTGGAGCACAGGAGGTTGAGTGGAGACTTGATAGCTGCACAAGATTATGACAGGTTCGATTGAAGGTAGACAAAGGAAAAACTTCCTGTTTAGCTGATATTATGAGGTTCTATAGAACACAAATTTAAGAAATGTTGGGGCAATATGCATAAGAAAATTTTTCATGCAGCAAGTTGTATTAACCTGGAACCTGTTGCCTTGCTAAACTAATGAAAGCCAAAATGGTGATTACTGAAGATGATAAACTAGCTTGGCTCCTGGGATAGAGTGAGTGAATCGGTCTGCTGGGATTAGTCTGCAGAGGTGATGGATTTTATGGGCCCAATGGCCTCTTGTGCTGTAAATGACTACGACGCTGTCCTGTTATGAATGCCGTTCTTTGTTTTTCAACCTCAATCACATCAAACTCACTAATCGTGTGTTGTGTTTTGCTTCTTTGTCTGTTTCTTGAGAAATGAGAACTGCTTTAATTGTAGCTTTGTAGGTATTTAAGTAGGTGTAGTCAAATCTTTACTCTTCACAACTTCCTTGTTTTGCAGGACATTCTGTACACTATTTGCAACCCATGTGGGCCTGTTCAAAGGATTGTCATCTTCAGAAAGAATGGAATACAGGCAATGGTGGAATATCCTTTCAATTCAGTTTTGAAGCAAAATGTTAAGTAAATGTTTTTTAAAAGGGGCAAAATAGAATTTGAGCCAGGAAAATAGAAATGATTGTAAGAGTGATTACAAGCTCTTAAAAAGAAGAGCACCTAAAATAAGTGTTGGTCCATACAAGCTGTGACAGGAGAAATGTTCATGGAAGTTGAGGAAAGAGTAGCCATGTTGAACAAGTATTTTGTATGTTCTACTGATGGGCTAATAAGAGTGATGAACTTCAAGTAATTATCAAGAAAAAGAAACAAATGGTAGCTTATAAAGATCTGAAAAGCTCTCAAATTCCAGGACCTATTAGTCAATGTCTCAAAAGTTCTAACAAAGTAGATGATGGATGCAGAGATAGTAGGAACTGCTGATGCTGGAGAATCTGAGATAACAAGGTGTAGAGCTGGATGAACACAGCAGGCCAGGCAGCATCAGAGGAGCAGGAAAGCTGACATTTCGGGTCTGGACCCTTCTTCAGAAATGGGGGAGGGGAAGGGGACTCTGAAATAAATACGGAGGGGGGAGGCGGATGGAAGGTGGATAAAGGAACAGATAGGTGGAGAGGAGATGGACAGGTCAAGGAGGCTTGGAGACCGCTTTGTGGAACACCTGTGCTCGGTTCATGACAAACGGCTACACCTCCCAGTCGCGAACCACTTCAACTCCCCCTCCCACTCCTTGGATGACATGTCCATCCTAGGCTTCCTCCAGTGCCACAACGATGCCACCCGAAGGCTGCAGGAACAGCACCTCATATTTCGCTTGGGAGCCCTGCAGCCCAATGGTCTCAATGTGGGCTTCACAAGCTTTAAAATCTCCCCACCCCTGACCTCATCCCAAAACCAGCCCAGCTCGTCCCTGCCTCCTTGACCTGTCCGTCTTTTTCCCACTTATCCGCTCTTCTCACCTCACTGACCAACCCCCACCCCCACTATCTACCTACTAGCCTCAGCCCCACCTCCTTGACCTGTCTGTCTTCCCTCAACTGACCAACCCCCATCCCAACTCCCTACCTACACTCACCTTTACTGGCTGGCTCCAACTATATGCTCCTTTATCCACCTTCCATCATTGCCTCCCCCCTCTCTCCATGTATTCCAGAGTCCCCTTCCCCTCCCCCATTTCTGAAGAAGGGTCTAGACCCGAAACGTCAGCTTTCCTGCTCCTCTGATGCTGCCTGGCCTGCTGTGTTCATCCAGCTCTACAGCTTGTTATCTTAGATGATGGATGCGCTGGTTTTTATTTTCTAAAGTTCTTTGTATTCCAGAATGGTCCCATTGCCAGGAATGTTATAATTATAAACCCACTGTTCAAGAAGGAAGGAGAGAAAGAAGTTTGAACTACAGGCAAATTACTGTGACATCAGCAATTGGGAAAATACTTGAATCTTTAAAATTGAGAAAGTCTTAATAGTGCAGTTGGAAAACCGTTATGAGACAAATAACTGCTAATGGGACCATTAGTAGCTGACGATGGGTTGTGGTAGAGGCCCATATGATGGCAAGGCCTGGTGTGTGGGTGTTGGGGTAAGGACATGGGAGAAGGTGCTTGGTATTTAAAATTACTGAACTCAATATTGAGCCCAGAAGGCATTTTTAAGTAAGTAAGTTTGTTTTAACAAATATATTAGTTTTGAGGAACTAATTGGAAGGCCAGGCAGGAACAAAAACAGAAATTGCTGAAAAACATAGGTTTGGCAGCATCTGTGGAGAGAAAGCAGAGCTGATGTTTTGGGTTCAGTGACCCTCCTTTAGAACTGACTGGTGGCTTGGTGGGGAAGGAGGAGGCAGAGTAAATGACGGATGGAGGTGGAGCCCAGAGAGAGAGAGAAACAGTTGGGCAGGCAAAAGAATAGGTAAAGTTCAATCTGGGAGAATAAATAGCTGCTAATGGGACCATTAGTAGCTGACGATGGATTGTGGTAGCAGCCCATGTGATGGCAAGGCCTAGTGTGAGTGTTGGGGTAAGGACATGGGAGAAGGTGCTTGAGCACTAAAATTATTGAACTCAATATTTTTGAGTCCAGAAGGCTGCAGGGTGCCCAAGCGTAAATTAAGTTGTTGTTCTTCCAGCTTGTGCTGAGCTTTGCCAAAGCACTAGCAGGCCCAAGACAAGACAGATATTGACCACGGTGGTGTGTTGAAGTGGCAGGCAGCTGTAAGCTGACAGGAGTCATTCATTGTAGCTCGCTTGAATTTTCACCAGGCGTTTGTGTGCAGTTTAAGATATGTTCTCTCAGAATTGGATGTAATACATGAGCTTGGATTGAAGATTTGTTAATGAACAGGAAGTGGAGAAGAGGGATAAATGTTGGGAAGTAAGGATTTTCACCTTTGTAACACACCAAACATAGAGGATAGGAGCAGGAGTTGGCCACTTGACCCTTTGACCCAGTTTTGTCATTCACTATGACCATAGCTGATCATAGAGTTCAATGAACTAATTCCACCCTCCCCCATATCCTTGGCTTCCTTTAGCCAGAAGAACAGACCACGAATTTGACAACACACAATGTTTGGCCTCAACCACTTTCTGTGGTAATTAATTCTACAGGCATACTGTTTTTGAGGTGTAGAAATTTCTCCTCATCTCAGTCCTAAAATGTTTTACCCCATATCTTCAAACTATGACCTGATTGTAGACACACTTCCCCCCAACCACCACCACCATCGGAATACCCTTCCTGCATCTAACCTGTCTGGTCCTCTTAGAAATTGAGATTTTGATGAAATCTTGCATCATTCTTCTCAACGTCATTGAATTCAATTCTAACTGATTCAATCTCTCCTCATGCATCAGTCCTGTCATCCCAGGAATCAATTTGGTTAACTTTTGTTAATGAACAGGAGGTGGAAAAGAGGGATAAATGTGAGGAAGTAAGGGTAAATCTTTGCTGCACTCCATCTGGCAAGAACATCCTCCGTCAGATAAGGAGGCCAAAACTGCACACAATATTCCAGGTATGACCTCATCAATGATTTGTATAATTGCAGCAAGGCATCTTGTTCCAGGATTCTCTTGCTGTGAAGGCCATAATTTGCCTTCTTTACTGCTTGCTGCACCTGCACACTTTGACTGCTGTATGAGGACACTCAGATTTTGTTGAACATTCCCCTCTCAATTTATAGCCATGCAAATAATTATTTGCGTTCCTATCTTTGCTGCCAAAGTGGATAAACAGCATGGAACTTTTAGATAACGATGTTCAAAGACACTTCTATAAGAAACACACTTTCATGCAGGTACATCAAGCAATTAAGGAAAACAATGCTGACTTTATTGCAAGAGAATTGATAAATAAGAATGAAGACATGTTGCTACAGTTATATAGAGCTTTGGTGAGATCACACCAGTTATTTTGTGCAGTTTTGATTTCCATATTTGACAATTGATTGGCCCATTTACATAGTCTATCTCTTCATTCAGAAAAATGATGTAATGAAAACAGATTCTGCAATAACTTGACAGGTTATACAGTTTGTGGAATTTAAAATGCAGGGGCATAATCTTGGGATAGGAGCCCTGGGACTCATTTAGGACTAAGATGAGAAATTTCTTCACTTGATGAGGTTTGAATATTAGGAATTCTGTATTACAGAGATCGTGGGTGCTCCACTGTTAAGTAGATTAAAAGTTGAGATAGATGAGCAAGAGTTGGCTGCTCAGAACTTTGAACCCTGCTCTGTTGGCAGATCCATTCACTCCACATTCCAGGATTCGACCCTGTTACCAAACTGCTTTGAGCATGTTTACGTGTTTCATTAAATATGGGGACCAATACTTTATACAGTAGCGTTTACCTAGGGTGGGGGGAGTCCAAAACTAGGTTTAAGGTGAAAAGGGAAAGATTTAAAAAGTACCTGAGGGGTAACTTACACACACCACACTTTTGTGTGAAGATGGAACCAGCTGCAGAGGAAGTGGTGGAGATGGATACAATTAGAACATTTAAAAGGCATTTGGATGAGTAAATGAATAGGAAGGATTTAAAGGGATATGAGCCAAATGCTGGAAAATGGGACTAGGTCAGATTGGGATGTTTGGTCAACGTGGGCGAGTTGGACTGAAGGATTTGTTTTGTGCTGTATAATTCTATGGTGCTTCAGAATATCAGAATAAGGAACATTCCGTCGAGCTGGGCCACACTGAATTTTGCAGCAAGTACTAATGGCAGTACACTCCTCTCTTTTGCATTCTTGCTTGTTCCTGATCTGTTCCTGTAATTTGGTTATTCTCATAAAAGTTTGTGTAATGCCACAGGGCTATCTTGTCTGTTGGTTATTAACCACAGTCTACGCTCTGCTTCACAGTGGCATTTACCTAAATGGAAATGCTCGCCCAAAAATAACAACATTGTGCACATTGAAATGCTCTCATAGCATTTTTGTTTTGCATCATCTTCCCTACTTGTCTGCCACAAAAGCATTAGACACTGATAACCAATTGTTATTCCCAGGACACTTGAATCATTGCAGGAATTTCATCATTTGCTTGCCAATCTAAGTGATGATGGTTGTGCATTCTTTGAGCAGTCTCTGTACATGCAGCAAGCATTCAGCTGTCCAGGAAGTGTGAACCTAATTATCTCTCCGTGACATTTCATTAGATCCATGCTTAGTGGTGCATTTATTGTCTAAACCATTGAGGGGAGCTGTTGAGCTTCCATCTTAGTGCTGAAAATGTTAATTGTCACCTTTATTGTGGAATATGTCTATACTTATTTGCCTTAATTCAACACACATTTGACTCTGTTCAAAGCGCACAGAAGGCCAAAGCATCTCTTAATGGTGCCGATATCTATTCTGGATGTTGTACTTTGAAAATAGAATATGCTAAGGTAAATATATGTGGTAAAATGCAGATTGCACTTGCAAAAGTGATACTGTTAGATAAACTGCATTAGAACCGTTGTACAATATTTGCACTCATTGCTCTGGATGACTGGAAACTGTTGGCATCTATTCTGTTATTAAACTTGTCACCTCCCCACAAACTCCTAATTTGGCAGTTTGCCGTACTATTTTCCTGAAGCTGGTGATTCCTTGGATGTGGTTTTGAGAACAGCTCTCCAGATGTCTTGCCCAAATGGTAAGCCTGGATAGTAAATGTTGATGTTTGAGTGTAGAGTGTGTTACAGCTATTTGAGTTTCATTCTGTCCCATGGTATCCTTGCATGTGCTTTCCAACAGTTGAATGTATAATACCAATGAGCAGCAGAAATTGTGCTTGTTTTTAAATTTTTTTTTAAGTATTCTGAAGTTAATTGTAGTGCTAGTTTCTGTTCTGAAAGACAAGTAATTCAGCATTTACCAGAAGTTGATTCTGAGACCTTATGGGTGTGTGCCCTGGTGCTATATTGTGTTCGAACCAAGGTCGTTTGTGTGGTTGGCAGATTAGATTACCCTTTGTTCTTGGACTAATGGTTTCAAAGGTGAATTAATTTAATATGATGCAGGGCAATCTGGTCCCAATTGTGGATGGTAAATGACAATGGTCTTAGTTAAATATTTGCATAGTCAACTATATGGGCTTAATTCTTCGGCAATTAACAACCAACCCATTCACTAATATTTATTGTGTCCCTGATGCAAAGTTTTACTAAATATTGTGCAGCCATCACATCTCCAGGACATTAGTACAACCGTTCTGCTGGATAGTTGTCTAGGCCAGCCATCTTCAGTTGTTTCATCAATGACCTTCCCTTTAGCTTAAGGTCAGAAGCTATTTGGTTTGATTGTTGAGCATTGTTTGAGCAGTCTCAGCCTGTATGCAGTAAGACCTAGAACAGCTGTTCAGAAAGTGTGAACTTAATTATCTTCCCCGATGTTAAATTGCATTACCCAGATTCACGCAATCAACATCCTTGAGTTTGCCATTGAACAAAACTTAACTGGACCAGTCATATAAATTTATTGCTACAAATCCTTGAATAGTATTCCATCTGTCAGCTTAAATGTTTATTCTCAATTGTGCACTATGGCAACAATGTTACTAACATCAAGGTGCACTACAGCAACTTTCCAAGAGTCCTTTGACCTTCTAAACCCTTGACTACTTTGACCTCAGCTTGAAAGACAAGGGCGTCAATGTATTAGAACACTACGACCTGCAAGACCCCTTCCAAGTCTCACCATCTTGACTTGGAATTATATCCCCATTCTTTACTGTCAGTGGGTCAAAGTCCTGGAAGTCCCTCCTAAGCAGTACTATGCAGTGTTCGAGGAGGTGGCTCAGAACCATCTTCTTGAAGCCATTTAGTGATGGGCAATAAATGCTGGCTTTGTTCCTGCTGAATTTACTAAAACTTGGGAAAGGGCTGTAAATAATTTGTTGGACATAAATTTGATAGCTCATGTTTGCTAGGACTTGGCCTCATAGGAAGTCATGATATGTTGTACATGTATCTGCCTTCAGGAGTTTGTTTTGAATGCTGTTCATTTTTGTTTGCATTTCACAAGTTTAACCAATGTGCTCATTGGCTCACAGTCGGTTATCTGAGATTTCTTAGCCATTGTCTTGTGATGCCTTCTATGAACTAGACTCACTGCTCCATACGATGCCTTATTGTCTGTTGCAGCCAACTCGTTTGAATGTCTTTAAGAATGATGCTGATACCTGGGATTATGTAAACCCTAATCCTGGTAGACCAGGTAAAATTTATAATTAATATTTCAATGTAGTCCTCTCTTGCATAGCTTGTCTTTACTTTCTGCTTCTGTTCAGTTTTATTTCCTGTTGGCAAACATATTGTAGAACCTCTGACCTTCAACCACACATAATTGGCACAATGTAATAAAATTATCTTGTACCTCATCTTTGTGTATGTGGAATACAGGAATGTAAACATCTGGAAGTGAGATAAGTGATAAACTGTAGGGCTGAGATTTCTGAAAAAGTTTTATGGCTTTCTTTTAAACCTTTTCCTCTTTTTGAGGCAACCTGCCATTTTACTGAAGTTGGGGTGATTTTGTGGTCCTTCAACTATTGCTAATTATCAGATTAGTGGAGCTGACTTTAAAACACTCCCACTTGTGTTCAAATCCTTTCATCATCTTATCCTCCTCCTCTTTGTAACCCTCCATAGGCCTTTATGAACTCTGCATTTCACTAATTTTGACCTCTTGTGCATCTCCCATTTCCTTCATCCACCTTTGAGCCCCTATCTTCATAGGCAGCAAGCAGTAGGATGCCCCCCCAAACCTGTCTTGTGTAAGAAGTCAGTATCTCTCCTTCTGTGAGGCCACCCTTAAACTGAGTTTTTTCGTTACTCCTTCCTAATGTCTTCCTCTGTGTTGTGAATTTCTATTTTATTAATCTTGAATTGCCTTGGAACTGTTATTCTACACTGAAAACATTCTATAAATGCAAGTGGTTCAACCGTGGTTAAATTTGACTGAGAAATTAACGCAGTGAGGGTTTGTATTGGTGGCTCAAATACTTGAGAGACTGACAAATTCTTGCAAGTGAGGAATTGACTGCTGATGAATGGATTTTTGAAGCATGATGTGTAGGGCTTATTTTATCTATTAAAAGTAACTGAAATCTTTTTTTGGAAAAAAAGATTATCCCTGGGGAGGGAAGAACATTTTTATTCATTTATTCACTTGCTGTTTTACAGCTTATTTTGTTAATTAATGACCAGGTTTTGTTGGTGTTTTACAAAACTAGTGTTAAAATTGAACTGGATTAGTTTATTTAAATTCTTGAAGCACATTTGCCCAGACTTGAGGGAAGTCAGCAATTGAGCCCATTGGGAGCTAGAGGTCAGATTTGGGATGTTTTAAAATACATGTATTTTAGAAAATTAAGGAAATGTGATTACAGAATTACGTGGATTAGTTAAGTAAACCTGTAATATGGCTGTGATAACTATAATACCAACAAATACAGGAAATACTGGTCGGGCACTATCTGTGCACGGAGAAACAGCTAATGTTTCAAGTTGGTGACCTTTTGTCAGAACTTGGATTATCACAGCTTGCCAGAGTTTATTGGGATGTGATAATTTTCCAGAAATTGGGTAATTATTTTTTATTGCCTCTCCATTGAATTAAATGTTCCTAGTAGTTAGGGAAATATTTAGCATTGTTCTGGATATGTGAATATCAATAAGTGTGACTATCTTTGGTCATCCTTTCTATATGTGCCAGTCAGTGTTCAGGAATGAGATTGTTGACCTTTTTAATATCAACTCTGATAGCACTTGGGATTTCCAGCTCTAATGTACATGCTTGGGTGGATAGCTTTGTGTGTAAATGCTCCCTGATTTCATTCTTGAGATCTGCTCTTTTTTTTAAAAGACTATATCCCATCGACTGTCCAAATCAGTGGAACTATCTGCTCTATTCCCCTTTAATGTCTTGAAAACTGGCATTTAACCATTTAAATTCCAGGGAGTACAATCCTAGTTTGTGTATTTTCTGCTCAAAGTTCCCGAGACATCAGAAGCCTGATTGGTTATTTTATTTAATTTCTTTTAGTCATGGAATAGAATTTTGGTTTGTACTATTTGGTTGTAGGATTAGAACAAATAGCAAGTAATGCTATATTATTGTTCCACATGCACACTCATTTAGTTAATTTGTGCTCCTGTCTGACTGTTATCTGATTTACCTGATAAAGATCATTCGACCTGGACCCTGAAGTTATTAAGTGGTTGAAGGTCAAAGGTTATGTCTTGAACCTGCACTCAGCTAAGCTTCCAGCACCTTGTGTTAAGAATAGTAGTAGTGATTTGTTTTATGTTGGCAATGAGGTTACCCAATCCTGCCACATTTGGAGTACTTAGCTTAGGATTGGTGTGAGCAAGGTGACAATATAGTAGTCATTCAAGCACTCGGGCATCTCCGCAACTGCAGTTCTAGTCCCCTTTAAACATTTTGATCAAGCACAAACATTTAGACTTCTTAGATTCACAGCAATCTCCAACTACGTATATAAATATGTAAACAAAGCTGCAATTGAATTTAATAAAGTTACACTTCCGTGGAACTTAAATACTTGTATAGCATTTAAAGTGGTCCACTTAGCAATAAATCACACATTACATATTATCACCTTAAAGCCAAACCACTGACTTTCATATCCTACTGATAGGCTTGTTTTGTGACATTTAATTCATAACTTCATGTTCCCCTAGTCACTACTACAACCAGTAAAACTTGTAATACGTCACATTAATGTGCAGCTGACAATGTTCAGTAGGTGGAATTCAAGTTCAACTAGACAGCATATAAGTGGGTGTTTTTTATTTAATTTAAAGTGAATTGTATAAACATTTCACATTTGCTATTCTGTTCAGTTGATACACAGGTGGCAATAATGCCCTCGGTGCTGTTGTTTGATTGGGGTAGGAGTAAATAGTGATAAGATGGATCCAGGCCATCCACTGAGTATGGTTTAAGTTGCGCAATAATTTGCCTATCTCCTGCAGTTCTAGTACTCTTTTTAATTAATGCATCTCACTGGGCTCATCCATGTGCTTATAATTAAACCAAAACGTGTGAAGTAGTATACTCATGAAAATGTAAATATTTTCATGTATTGCAATGCATTGCAAAATATCTTTTAATACATTTGTCCTTTTGTTCCTAATAAATAGTTGATTTAACCATTACAGTTAGGAATTTAGTTCACAGCATTGCGTAGGCAATTCATCTTGCCATTTGTTTAAAAATGTGTTCTGTCACTTGGTTAACAAATTGGAAACAACATATTGTATTGATTTCAAGACTTTAACTTTGAGGTGGTGATTTATTCTTGTGCATCTCTAGGTTGAAATCACTCTACCTATTCTCCATTGGAAAGCTATTGGTTAAGTAACTGCAAACCTAAGATAATAGTCAGGAGCTCAAGAATGATATTTCATCTGCAATTATAATTTCCACAGCACTGGTCAGGCTTGCTGCTATAAGGGAGCATTGACAAATAAGCCAACCTGAAATTGATGAATAAGCCTCTAAATCATCTGCAATTCTTATTACAACATTCGACAACCTATAATATCCAACTCACCTCAATGCGATTGTTGTATTTGAGATTTCAAAACTAGCCACCTAGTTACCATCTGTTCCTATCAATTCACTTGTACTGTGAGGTGGAATTCAGTTGTGGATCAGTGAATAACATCACCTCAGTTTTGCCTGAGCCTCTTCACCAAACGTGAGCAGCAATTTCCACATGGATTCCGAGTTCTTGTTCAAGAGTTGTAAGCACATTAACCTGTCACCTCATCGCTATTCAGTGTAAATACTTTGCACATTGCTTCATTTCTGTTACTATGTTCATACTTAACCTACAGGCTGCCATTTTAATAACCTTGCACTAAAATTGACCTATCAATTAATGTATGTACAATAATGTTTTCATGTCTTTCCTTTACTCTGTACAGCCACAATTTTTGTCTGATGAAAATGAATGAGAAAGTTCAGCTTTATTTTTTTCTCTTGCCTCTTGCTTTCTTTCCATGTTTCCACAATAATACTGATTGTACCGCAGTGTTTAATTAACTTTTAAAATCTGCTCTTGATTCTTTCAGTGAATAAGATCATCTCAGTGGCATTGGAATGTTGAACATTCCTCTGTGGAGAGGAATGGGCCACATACTGTAGGGCTGGTTCACCTTGTTTACACTGCTCTTTAATTTCTTTCAATTTGAATATGTAGAGAATGGGAGGACTGATTGATAGATAATTGAGGATTAAGCAATGTTTCATGTTCTTGGCTTTAATTGGTTGCTATAAACTAAGTTGATAGATATTTTGGCATAGAAGTATTGTCCCTTTAATATTGCAAGTCCTATATTCTTTACTGAAACTGCCTTCAATTGTTTATATTGATTGCTGTGTTGAAACGTGGATTTATTTTTAAATGAGCCAACTATTCTAACGTGCTGACCAGAAATCGAAGGTTGCTGGAAGCTTATCCTTTGCGTACAGCGAGCCTTCGGCTTTTTCTCAACAGTCTCTATTCACTGCCTACAACACAAGATGCTCACTTCTATACACATATATAACGATGAACGTTACCATCGCTGGATGTGGACTGCATGCACAGGTTGTCACGTAGCTAGTACTGTGCAAAAGGAAGGGGTGAGAGTGGCAATCCATGTGATCCCCACAGTATTCACAAGAAAACACAATGAATGAGGAAGCTCGTCAAGCTGTTGAGACCATGAAATACCTGAATAATTTCACCTCAAATATGTCCTGTTTTTCATTATAATCTTGTTCACCAACCTCTAACAAGGTGAAGACACTGAAATAGTTCATCTACAAAGCCTTTTCTACCCATTAACTTCAAAAAAAAATGACACATTCTTGCTCTACTTGATGTGCACTGAAAGTCAGCATTCTATCTTCCACTAAATGCTCCAACCATACAGAATCTCTGAAGGATACCAGTTCCTTTCACTGGGCAGACCATTCTACAGCCAGAGCCAGTCACCTCTGCAGGAGAAGTCATTGATATCAACTGTGAGCCGGTACAGTCAGTGCTAAAAGTACATGAGAGCTTGAGGGCAATTAAGCATTTTTTAAAAAAAACTGAAGAACCATAATGTTTATAAGACCATGACTTTTTTCCTCTCTGGATTTAACTTTTTTGTAAACTTTCTGTATGACATGGGGCAGCATGTTGTTCTATTTATGCAACGTCGTTTGAAAACTAAAGTTTGAAAGTCCAAAAAGTGCCCTTTTGAAACCAGGGTGTATTAAACAAAAAGTGCTTCCATTGTTTCAATAGCTTTCTAGTATTTTGTTGGATATTTTTAATGTGTAGGTGCCAGTGTCTATTATTTGAAATGTGTGTGAAATAGTGCTGCAAAACCATTTAAAACCTGTAAGTAGGATGCATCCATATTGGAAGCAAGCAGCTTTCATTTTTCAACCTTTCGCTGTCTGTCAGGCAAATATTTAGAAAGGAGACGACAAGGCAAGACCAGAGTCTGATATGCAGAAAAATAGACTGATATTCAAAATGCTTAATATGACAAAAAGGTGATAACCAGATGTCAGGTAATGATGGGACAATGGGAGGCATCATGAAAGAAATGGGAATGTAGAGTGGGAATAGCTATAAAGCACGGAGAGATGGGCATATGCAGTGTAGCATAAAATGGCAAAGCAGCATTTTGGTGGGGCAGTGGGAAGTGGGCAGCTTAGGGAAAATCAGATAACACCACTGCTGCCAACATGTGATAGTGGTTCCCAAATCAGGCATTGACCTGTTTAAGCTGCTTCATACCTGTGTCAGTATTGGCACGCCACGTCATACCTATTGTTGGAGAGAGACTGGCAACTGTGTTTGTCTAAAGTGACTTGTTAGATTTGTCATAAATATATGGTGAAGATTGGCCTAGGATTTTCCTTGATCCTTTCTTGACACTTTCTTTCAAAGGAAGAGTTCCACGGTAGAGCAGTGG